GTCATCCACCATGTCTTTCACATTCTTCGGAATGTGATCCAGACTTGGCTCGAGGGCAGTTAGTGGTTTGTGGAGAGCTCAGAGTGAAAGTGAATGGAGCTTTGAACAGCTTATCTATCAGGTCAGGGGAAGTTTGTCTAGCGCAGATTAGTTCAGGAAGGCAAATTGTGATTTCCTTATTTTTCGGCTCATGGTTGTAACCAACAGTTAAAGAAATGATTCATGTTTGCAGAAGAATTGGGAGAATGTACATCATTTTCTACGTACCCTATGCAAGCAGGGTTTGCAACTAAATGTTGCGAAATGAATTGAGAAAGACCACAGTGTACAGTGAAGGCCTGAACTAGGTGAGACATGAAGGCCGAGTCTTGAATTGGAACACGTTGTATACAGCTGTCTCTTGCACGTTGTCCATGCTCAGTACCACACTTTGGCAACAAGCCCAGAAATGAAGAAACTATAACTGGTAAGCTTCAACCCTGACATGACTGCGTTTCAAATTCATGTCTGCACATTCCTATTTTACTACGCATTTGGGAAAGCATATCCCAGGTGGTTCACACTTAATCTGTAGAAACTTACAGACAGACAACTTGGCAGTTCATCCATTTCTGGCCAGAAGCCAATTGAGGTACCCATCCAAACTTAATTCATAGAACTGCTCTATTAAAGTAAACATTATACAGTATGATAGATGTGTGTGTGCAGTTACTACAGTGGGACAGTAGTGCCTTGTTCTCACGTGCAGTGAACAGATATTTTGGTTACAACCTACAACAACAATTTTAAATGTATGCAGCACCTTTTATGTTGGGAGGATTTCTTAAAGCGCTTCACAATTCACTACACAGACTGCTCTACATCACTGAAAGATAAGCCTTAAATAGTTCCTTCTCCCAGAAATTTCCAGAATCAAAATAATCTCCCTAGCCTGTCCCAAATTGTAATGAGCTGAAAGATGTAGTCCAGGCTGACATTCCTGTGGAGTATTGGGGGAGACTTCCATTTTTGGAGGTGTCATCCCTCAGAAGATGCATTAACCAGGTCCCATTTTTAAACCAAGGTCCCATAACTATTATTATCGTTACAATGCTAAAACGTCCATTACATGTGGGCTGCGGCGGGAGTAAATTTGCTACCACATTCATCTACATCAAAAAATACACATAGTTTCTAATTAATCTCATTCAAAAGAGGGAGTTCAGATTTTTCATTCACTGAAAAAGCTCAATATAGATATAGGTTCTTGGTGTTGTATGAAGTTCTCCTCATGAATCCCATTCTGAGGTTGTGACTCCCTGTTGATTATGTTACCGAAGAGACATTTTCTACATCACATCAGTTCACTCAGGCAATTGCACAGTTTTCTTAGGAATAAACATCGGAGATATTTAAATCACTTGAATGTTCAGAACCACTATTTATCTTGTCTTACTGCTTCAGAGGGCAGCCTTTGCCTTGGGCACATTGTGATTTGAATGAACATTTTGTTACCTCTGGATTGACATCACCTACCCAAGATGTGCTTTTACCCAGCACAGCACAGTAAAGAGATGCACTGTGTTTGTCGGCCAAAATAATTTGAGCGATATATAGTAATAAATCTAGCCACCCTCAACTCATAGGAACATAGGAATATATGAACAGGAGGAAGCCAATCAGCCCTTCGAGCCTGCTCCGCTATTTAATTAGATCATGGCTGATCTGTATCTCAGCTAATTCTTTCAATTTGAATTTCCTGCTTTCTCCCCATATCCCTTGATACCTTGACCTACCAAAATCTATTAACCTCACTCTTGAAGGTGTGGGTGGATCCAGCATTCACAGCCTTTTGGGGGAGAGAATATCAGATTTCTACTACCTTTTGAGTGAAAAAATGCTTCCTGATTTCACTCTTAAATGACCTGGTTCTAATTTTAAGACTATGCCACCTTGTTTCAGAAAAAATAAATGTCATCTTTGTGCCATTTGATCTGCAGTTTCCTGTAAGAAACTGATTGTTTACATTGACCTTCACTGAGTGGAAGAGGTAGACAGAAACAATACAGTACAAATTTATATTTATGTAGCATCTTTCACATCAGGAGGATGTCCCAAAGGGCATGAAAGCGCATGCTCAAAGATGTAGGAGACGGACCTTAATGAAGAGGGAGGGAGGGAGGGAGAGAAAAGGCCAGGGAATGCAATCTTGACTGGCTGATGAAAAGTATCACCTCCAGTTTCCTGAATGTAGACTACCCTGTGTTATTTTAGAGGATTTTACATACTTACAATATAAAAACAAACATTCGTTTATCACTTCGTCAGCCACTGAGAGATGCTCAGACACGTACAGATTTCAAAACTATTCTTTCATTCATACAAATCTCAGCAGAAGTGTCACTTTTATCAATTTGCCTCACTTTGTATTCACGAATGAAGCAGCACAATAGACACATGCCTATTCTGTGAGTTGCAAAAATCATGTGTTTCAGCCTGACTCAGTTAGTAGCACTCTTGCCTTTGAGTCTGAAGGTTACGGGTTCAAGCCCCACATGGGTGGACCCTCCGAGGTACCATCTGCCTGTCAAAGTAACGATCCCATGACACTATTCGAAAAGAGAAAGGAGTTTCTCTCTATGTCCTGTACAACACTCCTTCAGGTTGGTCAACTATTCCTTTATGGCTGTTTGAGAGAGTGTTCTGATGCTGCCCCAGCTTCCCTACAAAAACACTCGCAAAACTCGACAGAAATTATTTTTTTTTAAAGATATTTTGATATAAGTTACTTTAAAACTGTAATTTTTTTCTTTCAATGTTGCTTGCAATCATGACACCAATGATTGCCCTTTGAGAAACAAAACCCCTGGAAGCAGGACTTCTAACTTTTAAATCTATTATTAGGTGGGTATGTTGCAGTGAGGGGAAAAAGACTAGGAAGAGGGGAATCTATGGAGGCTTTTCCTGCAGAGTTCTAAAGAAAATAAAACCATAAGCACTCTCCCAAGCCATATGAAGAAAACATAAACTTTTCCTTAGGATAGCTGCAACTGAAAAGCTACATACATCACTTTCTCAGAAATCAGTTGGGCGTTGCATTGCAGGAGATTGCTAGGGCAAGACCTCCTTTTGTGTGAGCTTCCCCCGCTTGCTGTCCACTGCCAGCACATTACACTCCAGTGAATTGAGTGTTCACAAGCTCTCTCTGGAACGTGAGTTGTCAAATCAAAATGCAGAATTGGGGAACGGGCGTTCAGGAGCCAGTTCTGATGAAAAGCAAGTTGAACGTGGCAGCTGCTTTGGCAATCCATGCGCCGAGAGGAGACAAGACCATTTCGAACAGCTCAATACTGCTTTCTTTTTTTACACCACATCAAAGCTAAAGGACTGTGTAACACATGGGAATGACTAACACCCTACATTGAGTTCTGACAGTTTAATAGTCCATCAATCCCTTCTCACTCCTCAGGACATTGTACTAATAATACTGCATTTATTTACCTCGTGCTGTTTGGTCTGATACAAATGCTTGCGGCTGCAAATGCCATTTTTCTGGCACCCTCATGTAGTTTTCGTATTGTTGGTCTGGCCTCAGTTCCTTCCCCAGAGATTGGGGCAGCCTAACAGCTGGAACTGAGAAAAAAATTGCGCCGTTATTTTCAAACTCAACAAATTTCTGGTATGTGATTGCGTGCCTTCAGCTTCTCTCCCACCCTTTGGAAATCCATCCCACATTCCCTTCGTCTCACTTGTTACCTTGACTCCTTTAAGGCACGTCTCAAAACCCTTCTCTTTGACCGCACAATCAGCCACCCTCCTACCTTCCCTACCCTCCACCCTCTCTTATCCCAAACCCCCAGCTTGGGTCCCAATCCCTGACTGTCCAGCACCTTGGGATGTCCTCCCCGACTTGAAAGGCGCTCTACAAATGTAATTTTGTATTGTATCTGCATTGGGTGGGGGTAAAAGAGAATTCTGTTTATAGTTTTTCAAAATGTGTAGCCAGGAATTTGTATGTGGTCTTTACCCACTTGCCCATGTTTGGAATCTGTACAATGCCGGGGGTTTTGAGAAGAGGATCCTTCACTATAGAATGTTCTAGTTTCTAGACCAGAGATCAGGGCTGTCTGTTGTTGAATGGTTATCAAAACTGGGGTTTTACACTCTCCCTGTGCTCGGCAAATTTCAGAGCTGGTACAATTCTGGCCTTCTCGAGCTGCGTAAACAGCCAATTGATTCAGTGCAGCCCAGGGATACAGGAAAATGATCAGGGAATTACAGGCTGCAAGCCACTGAGCGCATATAAAATAACTGATCACTCTCAATCTATGACTGTTTGTGGGACACTGCTGGGCACAATTGGCTGCTGGGCACAATTTTGCCCCCAAAATACAGTCAAATCCACTTTGCAATATATTCTGTGAAATCTCAACATGATAAGGCGCTATATAAATTGGAAAGATTATTATTATTACCTGGTCTACCATTGTCAGTCAGCCTTTCAGACCATCTGGTCCCACACTCTGGAACTCCTTGTTGGGAGTCCCTATGATTCACCCCTTCCTCATCACTTTCAAGGCTCGCCTCAAGACCTTCTTCTTTGACTGTACTTCAAGTCATTCTTCCTGTAGTGGAGTCCTGTAGCTCAATTGCTGGGCGCAATTGCCTGCTACGATTTGCCCACAAAATATACAGTAAATTCAGTTTACAGTATATTCTGTGAAGCGCTTTGAGACGTCTCGAAGATGTGATAAGGCGCTATTTCAAATCCAAGGATTATTTTTCCCCTTCACCTCCACCCCCAGATCAGATGCAAGCTCTCGACTGACCATTACCTTGAGACGTCATCCCGGCTTGAAAAGCGCTCTATAAATGTAAATTCGTTATTGTCGTCAATAATCCGAGCCTTTTGATACAAGTGAGTCAGTCGTCTGTCTATCAGCTAGCTCTTCTCTGGTTTCTTTGGTTGAGGAATTGGGAGGGGGATGTAAGAAAGCTTTTCCCAAAAAAAGACAATAAGATTCAATGTAAATGTTTTTATTGTTTGTTTACATAGTTTATAGCTTTCACCACAGCTACTGTACATCAGCAGTGAATGCTGTAACTATTCATGCCTTAACTAAAACATCTAGAAACCAAAGTATTAAAATAAATATTTTTTGGCAAATGTCCTACTACGAGCATCTCGTGCAAGCATCACTTCCCACATACAGAAAATCCAAGTAGAACATTGAAAGAGGAAGTCTAGCATTTTGGTCAGGTTGCAAGGCATTAGTGGCTCAGACTTCTGATGTAATGTTACATCCTGGTTACATACTAGCAGCAATAAACTGGAATTGATTTGGTGAGTTCTTTCAAACGACTGTGTAGCACAAGCAAACAAACAGCAAAAAAACAAATATTGAGTGCTTGCATTTGAACCCCAAGTAGGTTCATTGGAAACCAAGTTCACAGTAGTGTAATTCCAGAATTAGAATATTGTAGAACCCCCTCAGATGATTATCCGGTATGTAACACACTCAAAACACCTGCTTTCACACTTCACTCATTTCAATTTTGAAACTTTTAAACTCTACATTTCCTGCTCTGCAACAGCACAATTTGACCTAATGACTTGCGCAACAATACCCAAAATCTAATTTACTCTTTCATGCCAATAAGAAAGGTTTAGAATTATTTATTTATTAATTCACAGTGAAATGTCACTTTCAGCACAAATGTGCAGAAGATGACCAGAGCATTGAGAAAGGATTGATTCACTGCTTTCTAACAATGCTGAAGAATCATATGCCATTATTGTTCAGAACACATTGTCCTTCCAAAGTTAATCACTTCTTAAAAACTCACCAGTTTTATTAATTTACATCTGCACAGCACTGGAGTCACATATGTATGAACAAAATACCAGTACCACCTGCAGCTGTACTTTAGCTTACAACAACAGATAACACACAATTTATAGCCTGGTTTCAAACAGGCATAAGTTACAAAACAATATGTGTTAGATTAAGTTTTTATTTTTAATGCAGTCTCTGGTTTTGACCAGACACTGTACTTTTAGCAGTTGCATGTTACTCAGATTAAGGTACATTTGATATAGTATGTACACATATTGTCTTGCCAAAAATATCTGTGTGATCAATCCCGTGACTGTACAGTACAACTGAAAAAATTCCTTTTTGACCTAAAACACTGATGTCCTTTCTAACCTAACATACAGCTCCTCAATACATAAAAAAATTAAGTTTAATTCAAACATACTCATAACAGTCCTTTAGAGGAATATGTGCAAGCAACCTTCTATCACTGCCTTCAATAATACATTAGTAAGGTTTGTAGGTTATAAAATGTCACATTAAAAGTTTAAAACCGTTATATATTTTTGCACAACCTGTACAAACAAAACCAGTTGAATTCATAATGCAGCACGCATTTGTCACAAGGGTAACAGATCTATATATAGCATCAATCATAATAAATGTACAATACGGAATACAGTATTTACAATGTAATATACACAGTATAATAAAAGCACTAGTGGAAGGATCTGCATGCAAGACATTGGAATGAATCAGCTACATTTTCAACAATGCAAAGTCACAAAATGCTTTTTCGGACATGATCAACTGCTTCAATTGTGATAGAATACTTAACAAAATTTATGATTTGAGCAATATTAACTTGTTTGTGAAAGTCACAACAGTTTACTTGACATTTATTATTAAATATTACATGTAACCTCTTGCCACTCCTAGGGAACAAAAGTTTAGCAGCACTGTTCAAACCACTAGTATTACCAAAGGAGCATCATACTGCCCACACAAAATCACAGCTAAATTAGTGCTCGTTTAACAGTAAATGTACACAAATGTAATGAATAATTAAGAGCGATTAATAGATTTCCACTGATTAATTCACTTTTTTCCCCAATGAAAGACAACTAGCATAAAATGATATTTTGGCTGAATTAAATTGTTAAAATCTAAATCTGCACTTGTGCACCTGTATCCTGAAACCTGCCTGGCTGCAGCACTGGTTCCAGTCAAGCTGTGAAAGCTGATTCTAGCAATGCAGATATCCGAACACTAGCTTCACTGTAATGCTGGTGGGTTTGGGAACGCACAGGTATTGCAAGACCAGCATTGAACCAGGTTTGGTTCGAAATGATTGTGTTAAGTGAATGTTCCAAAAGGATTCCTGATTTTATCATTTTGGGTTAAATTCTCTCCTCCCAAATTTCATAATAATCCTTGCAATTGATATAGTGCCTTATCATGTTGTTGAGAGATCTCAAGCGCTTTATAATTCTGTAAGTGGATTGATTGTATATTTTGTGAGCAAAACACACAACGAAAGCAGCAGTGTCCCAAAAACAGTTGTAGATTAAGTGAACAAATTATTGGTAGTAATTTATTTTTGATGGGATTATTACCCCCTGAAAGCAATCTGCCAATTAACTAACAACTGGGTTCCTACTTACTGCTAGGTAAACAGAGACATTTGGAGTAAGGGAACTTGCTTAACGTTTCACCCTGGCCGGGGATCAAAGCCAGGACTTCCTGCTTCAGAGGCGATTGCTCTAACCAATACTCTACAGGATCCCCAATTTTTTCCCTCTTATGACTAAAAAAAACCCCCTGGGGTTAAAACAATTTTCATGTTTCCTTGAAAGATCTTCATTTTCTGTAAGGTGGGCCACAGTGGAGTGAAATCAGATGACATGGCAAGGACTAGTAGTCAAAGTTATAAACAAAATGGTAATAGCAAAAGAATGCAAAACAAATAATAATAATAATAAACAAAGAGGCAAGGTTAAACAATACAAATCATATGTTAAGCTTCAGTTACAATACTGTTTGCAGTTTTGTGCTCTCCACACAAGTGTTGAAAAATATGAGGTTTGATAAGATAAATCCACTTGTCTGTGAGGAAGTAACAAGAATATAAATTGAAGATCACCACCAAAATAGGAAGAAGTTAAGATTATTTTTCGGGAGATTGACAGAATTTGGAATGTCCTACCAACAGATGGTTCAACGAGAATCTGTCATAGCTTTTTTCATTTAAAGAGAATTAGACAGATTTGACGGGAGTTGACTGTCCAATACATTTGGGGTAAAAGATACAGAGACAGCACTCTTAATTACATTATATATTAGGAACTTGGGAAGAAATTCCACACCCTCTAAATTCTGATCTTTGCTAAAAGGATATTCACGTCATGTCAGTGCCGTTATACTACTAAGTGCAGTGATTTGTCCCAGTCATTTTCAAAGGAATTTCACATCCTAGATTTCAGCTGAAATGGCACAAATGTGATCCGTAATGAAGATTACCGTAATATAAATTGAAATTCATATTACGACATATGAATTGAGATGTCTAGAAGCCATGAAAAGCGCCATATCAAATGCAAGGATTATTGTTATTTAAATAATGTAGGTGCAACAAGCAGAAACTAACCTCAGCGACACTTCCTGCAAATAACATGCAATGGGTAACAAAGGATGGCAGTGGTGGACTGATGACCTGAAAGACCTGAAAGCCATTTTCAGGCGTGTCTCTCAAAGCAAATCCACGCTCATTTGGGTCATATACATAACAGAAGCACTGCCAGAACTAAAAAAAATAGAATTGATCATAGTATCTTTGCATTGTTGTACCAAGCTAACAATTCTAACACTATACAATCATTGTTACTTGAAGCTCAAATCATATTTGATGCAACATTAAGAGTTTTTACAATGTTAAGAGATTTTGTCTATCTAGGTAAAGCGCTTCACAGAATATACTGCAATTACATAGCAACATCAATTAGCTTCTATGGTAGTGAGCAGTATGGTGAATCTAAAATTCCTTTTGCCTCTTCCATGTATTGGTAGTTATTAAATCCTTTCTTAAAAGGACATAGCAACAAAAATGCTGGCTAGCTGCCTTTTTAATTCACATTACAACTTCTAACAGAACAAATGTTCACCATATGAAAATATTGTTTACTGTAAATATATCTTTTACCAGCCTATTTTGCTTTCCAGTTTTGTGTTCTATTGACCAGTGATTAGCATATAGACTATTGCCCATTTATATTCACAACATTATGCCCATCTTCCACTTGAGACAAAGCTTCGGCTGAATGAGAAACAGATGTCAGAATTCTTGTGTTTCCCCCATGCACCAAATGGAACCACAATAAGAGTGGTGTTGTCCTCTGTACCGTACTGCAAGGCCTGCAAAAACAAAGGGTATCGTTACACCGCTAAAGTGAAACATTCCCACTGGTAAAATACACTTAAAAACGCCCCATCAACATGGTAACAGTTTCAGGCAGAAAGAGTTCATTGGTCTATCTAACCTACTCCTCTAATTTTCCAAAATACTCCTTCAGAAAATGTATTTCTTAGAATTTTATTGCTGAATTCTTTTAACTTCCAGGAATTTGTCTAGTTCCTTTTTAAAAACCTTTAGTTCCTTTTCCACTTCCAATGTTTGGTACTTAACCCCTTTACTAAAATATCCTACATTCTGCACTTCCTATTCTCTTTTGTCGTCTTTGTTTTGAAGCTATTAACTTTATTGTCAGAGGTGCCGTCCTTCAGATGAAACATTAATGCAAGGTTCCCCCATCTGCCTGTTTAGGTGAACATGAAAGAACCCAGTGCACTGTTCAAAAAAAGAGATTGGAGTTTTTCCTGGTGAGGTCAGCAATTCCTCAAATAAAATTTATTTCACTTGTGGCTGTTTCTGTGACTTTGCTGTGTGCAAATTGGCTGCTGGGTTTGTCTACAAACAGAGAGACTATCATTTAAAGAAACTTGGTGAAGCATTTTGAGACATTTGAATCCAAAGTCGAGGGAATACCCTCAGCTGTCTCTGCCACTGCATCTGCTACCCCTTCTCCATCTCCTCCTCCTACCCCGGCCCCTACACATCGTTCCCTCCACAACTTTGAACCTGTCTCCCCCTCCTCTCTCATCACCACCATAAACCGTAGGAAACCCACCATTTGCTCTCTCGACCCCATCCCCACCCCTCACCTCCCAGCTCCACCTCCTTGCCCCTCTACTCACTGACATCGTAAACCTCTCCCTGTCCTTTGATACTATTCCCACCCCTTTAAAAACCACTGTCATCACTCCTATCCTTAAAAAATCCTCCCTGGATCCTTCTTTACTCCCTAACTATGGCCCCACCTCCAACCTCCCTTTCCTCTCCAAAGTCCTGGAACGAGTTATTGCTTCTCAGCTTCGCTCTATTTTCTCCTGCCATTCCCTTCTCAAACCCCTCCAATTGGGTTTCAGTGTCAGTGACAAATGACATTCTGTCCACCTGCGACCAGGGCTCCCACTGCCTCCTCATCCTACTTGACCTCTCTGCTGCTTTCGACACCGTCGACCACTCTATCCTCATCCACTGCCTCTCCTCTCACGTCAACCGCCACGGTGCTGTCCTGGATTGGTTCAGTTCGTCGTACCCCTCACACCCCCTGCACTTCATCTCCTCAAACGGCTTCTCCTCTAGCCCCCGGACCGACTCATGTGGCTCTGTCCTTGTCCCCTCCTCTTGAATATCTATATGCTCCCTCTTGGTGACATCATCCGCAGACATGGGGTCAACTTTCATATGTATGCGGATGACACCCAACTCTACCTCTCTGCCTCCACCCTCGACTCCAGGACCACTGCTGTCCTGACAGAATGTCTGTCAGACATCAAATCCTGGATGAGAGCGAACTTTCTTCAGTTGAACGCCAACAAGATCGAGGCCCTCCTGATTGGCTCCCATCAGCGCCTCCTCACCTCAGGCACTGACAGCATCACCATCCACGGTTGCACACTCCACCTTACTAAGCCAGTCCGGAAACTTGGCATCTTGTTTGACTCTCAACTATCCTTTCTATCCCACATCTGTGCCATGAACCGCTCTGCCTTCCCCCACCTCCGCAACGTCGCCCGGCTCTGACACTGTCTCACACCACAGGCCAACGAAACCCTTACACACGCCTTCATTACATCGAGGCTTGACTATGCAAACTCACTGCTTGTCGGCCTCCCCAACTCCTCCCTCCACAGGCTGCAGATCATTCAGAACTCTGCAGCCGGGTCCTCTCCCGCACCGGGCTCCGTGACCCTATCACCCCCATCCTCACCCGACTCCACTGGCTTCCTATCACACAGAGGATACAGTTCAAGATCCTGGTCCTCACCTTCAAAGCCCTCCACGGTCTTGCTATCCCTTACCTCTCTGACCTCCTAATCCCCTACCACCCTGTTCGCTCCCTCCGCTCAGCGGGCTCTGACCAGCTTCACGTCCCCCGCTTTGCTTGCCCCACTATCGGATGGCGCGCCTTCTGCCACTCTGCACCCACCCTCAGGAACCCCATCCCGCAGTCCCTCCATCTCGCCCCCTCCCTCGCCAACTTCAAGACCCACCTCAAGACCCTGTTTTTCAACCATCCTTTCCCACCTGCCCTCCACCCTCCCCCACCCCGACCCCCAGCTCGGGTCCGTAACTCTGTTTGTCCAGCGCCTTGGGACGTCCTCCCAACATGAAAGGCGCAATACAAATGTAATTTTGTTGTTGTTGTACAGCCGCACTATGAAATGCATGGGTTTACTTTTTATGATTATTTAACTGATATGTTTAGATTGTTAATACATTATCAATGCGCACTTTAGAAATTAAAGCTTTACATCTGCCTTCATTAGACATCTTACATATAAAAAGGCCGAATCAAAGTAGCAAACCTCTCCCAGATTTTTTAGTTATTACAGACTGCTGCAGAACTTCATTGGCTAGTTGTACAAACAGTTGGGCAGCATTGACTCTGCATTCTCTGGAAGCAAGGCAATGAGCAGTTCCGAACAGAGAAATGTTGCAGGTATTGTACAAATAGCAACAAAAATAACTCCTCTCCCAAAGCAACAATTTGAACAATGGTCGATGCTAGATATTATTGCTTCCTCCTTCTGTTGGAACAGGGTACCCTGAATTTTTAGGAAGTTATGTTAATTCAAAAATGTTACCAATTAACTTATGTAAATCAGTTTAAAATGGAGAAGACAGAGGGAAAGGAGAACAGGATGTGACTATTCGTACAAAACAAACACTGCAGTTTGGGCACCTCAATATCAGGTGGTCATCAGGTGGTTTGGGAGAATGCCGGCCAAATTCACACAGATAATGCCAAGGCTCGATATTACAGGCTTGAGTTGGATATTGATTAGGTAGAGAATGTTGAGAGGGTCTAACTGAAGTGTTCAAAATTAAGAAAGGGTTATTACAGTAAACTCCTAATAACTTATCACTCAAATGGAAAAGGCTTCAATGACAGGTTATCGAGAGTAGTTAGTTGGCATATGTAAAAATACGTAAGTGAATGCAGGCGGGATATTTAGATGACTTAAGTGGTAGTGACAAATAAAGCCAGGTTTGAGTTATCAGAAGTTTACTTTATTTCTTTTGGTGGGTAAATTAACGCCCAAAAATTATCAGAAGCATAAAAGTATAGGTTGGACAATTTTTTATTTATAAAGGATGTAGCTGTGTTACCACAAATGGCTCTTGAAGCCAAATCAATTACAGTATTTAAAAAAAATTAGATAAACTCTTGGAAGTATAAAGACAATAACCCTTGTATTTGGTACAGCGCACTTCACATTGGGAGGACATCTCAAAGAACTTGACAGGACTGTCATTTTATAATGTAAGCAAGAAGGAACGAATCTATCAAATTTTAGAACGTATGGCAAAGGGCTGCTGGGTATGAAGTTTATTTCCCGCCTACTGCATATTGAGTTCAGTGAGAACGTGTTCAGGGTGGGGAAGAGATGGTGAGAAAATGGAATTCATATAAATTGTAAAAACATGTATCATTTGATGACTATGATGATATTGGCTAATATACAAGCTCATGTGCATACCTTTAATGGGCGTTTTGAAGTGATGTTAGCAACGCTTGTGCTTAGTACACAGGAAATTATGTCAATGGGTGGGTGGCGGGGTGCCCTGAAGCAAGCAATCCGACAATTAAATAACTAAATCTTGTTTCACCTGTTCAGTAATAAGCTGAGCAGCCTCTATTGGATCATGACACTGACTGATGTGGTCGCAAATCTCTTGACTGTTCATAATAAAGTTAATCCCATCCGTCGTCAAAACCAGGAAAGCATCATCTCCATGCTGTACCTACAAAAGGTAGAAATCAAGGGTCACCGGGCATGCAAAGTTTATATAAAAAAAGTATTACAGAAAAGAAAACATACACAAAATCAAACAATTTTTATTTTTAAAAATAAAGCTTTGGGCCACTTTCAATAATAATAATGATAATCCTTAGATTTGATATAGCACTTTAACACACTGTCGAGACGTCTCAAAGCACTTCACAGTACACTGTAAAGTCGGTCTGGCTGTTTTAAGTTACTAAATTGACCTTAAAACAGTGAGTAATCCTGCATTTCTAGATTGCTTGCTTCAGAAATAAGACTAAAGAGGGGCAGGTTATCCTAGAACAACCTCATTTGAATATGTCAACAAGATGGAAGCCAGACTCTTTGGCTCCCTTCAATGTCTTCTGTCCTGCGGGTCTGAACTCACTCAACCTCCCCAGGCTCTGTCTCAGACCCTTCCTGTGCGCAGCTTGGGCATCAGGTTCAATCCCCAGCTTTCATCTCTACCACACATCCGTTCTCTGACCAGAATTGCTTTTTTCCACCCCTGTCACATTGCCCACCTCCGCCCGTACTTCCCAAAATCCTGTGGAGCATGCTCCCTCGGGAGATGATTGAAGCAGGAAGTGTTGATCCTTTCAAACACAGATTAGATAGTTTTCTTTTAGGAAATAACATTATGGGATATAGTACATAGGTAGTTTGGGACATATGTGCATGCGACCACCAGGAAGGTGGAAGGCGAACTAGATGGACAGTGGTCTTTATTCGTCTAGCATTTCTTATGTTCTTATGTACAATTGACGCAGCTGAAACCCTCGTCCACACCTTCGTCACTTCCCAGCTGGACTATTTGAATGCCCTCCTCGCTGGTCACCCTAGCTCCACCATACACAAAATCCAAAGAAGTCAGAACTCCACTGCATGGATACCCACCCGCACAAAGCTCCGTACCCCCATCATACCAGTCCTTGCCAGGCTTCACTGGCTCCCAATTACAGAACAGATCAATTCTAAGATTCTCTCAATCGTTTTCAAATCACTTCATGCCCTCGCACCTCCCTATCTATCCGAGCTGCTTACCCCCCACTCCACCACCTGCTGCCTCCGCTCGGCTGGCTCCAGCCTCCTGATTGCCCCTTGTGCCCTCCGTTCCACCATTGGTAGATGTGCCTTCAGCCAATACCCCTCGACACTCTGGAAATCTCTCTCCCTCAATCACTTTGTCTTATCCCCTCCCTCCCCACCTTCAAATCCCATCTAAACACCTTTCTTTTTGAATGTGCTTATGGTCACCTCTCCCCTACCTCTCCCCCCAGCTCATTGTCAAGACTCCGCCACTGTGAAATGCTCCAGGATTCTACCCCACGTGAAAGGCGCTATATAAATGCAAGTTGCTATTGATGTGTACATCGCCCTGAATACATGTTAATACACTGACTATAGATTTATACATGCTAACAAGGGCGCTATGTAAATGCATGTTGTTGTTGAATATGCTTGGATGAAATCACTAATTACAGCATTTAAAAACAAATTTAATTGAAATATTTGTATGAGGTTCAAAAATTCAATATTATGTTTTAAACATCCAGTTAAAAAAGAGGCAATAGCTCTTTGTTGTTGCTGTTTTCAGATGATTTGCAATTTGTCTTCAATTATCATTTTTGCAGATAAGGTATAGAGTACTCAGTTATGCAAGGTGATACTGGTGTACAGTATGCAGGCCTACCTTAATCCGTTTAGTCTCTGGCTCAGCAATGACTCCCACAGACTTTAAGGCCAGATCGCCTATACTGCGGGTCATAGCCAATCTCCCATTTACATGTGGTTGACCTAGACTGTTCCAGGCAACAAAACCGCCACATTTCTTAATTCTATAAAACAAAATAAAGGTTGGTCATTACATGGAAATTGTAATCAAAGATAATTATAGTTGTGTCTAAGAAATACAAAATGTATATAAATACAAATTAATCTGTGGTTGTATATCAGATTTCAACTTATAGAAAATTACTAGCTTTAGATATTTATCATAACTCCCATAGGACTATTTGTGCTACTTTTTCATAATATTACCTCTCCCTTTCATCTTTTCTTTCTGGAGTGTGGTCTTCAGTCAATCGCTCAGGCTTTCCTTTTCGACAAAGAATAGCCCGGCTGTCACCTACACTTGCCACAACAAGTTCAATGCCATCACGTAACAGAGCCACAGTGGCAGTCGTTCCCGATGTCAGGATGGAAACTATAATCATTAGAACAGAACTGAAATCACACTCTGAGAAAATGCAGCATATTAACAAGCTTTAAAGGCATTACTAGTATTTTAGGTAAATTACAAGCGAATCTATTGAAAATAAATAATGAGCAATATTATATATCTGATACAGCATGCAGGTATTAAACAACTTTGTAAGATAGTGGGGGTATACTTCATTAACAGGGTTTAATGCTTAGCTAGCGTTACAAAAGGCAACAAGCCCAAGTGCTTAGAAAAAAATGAGCTGGTTGAGAAAAACAATATTTGTGGCAAGTGTCTCTAGTTAGAATCAGGCCCTGTTGCAATAATTATATAGAAGTAACTACTAATAGGTTATTCACAAAGTTAAAAATTTTAAGAAGGAACAAAATAATTGTTCAACTAAAAACTACATATACTATAAAGCAGGTATTTTTAAATTAGGCATTTCAGGAAACAATGGGAATCATTCCTTTCAGATAGGTTTAAAAATATTTTGTGAACTATATCACAGCATTTTAAATAGAGAATGAAATTACACCCCCCAACACAAAGCCTACATTAAAGGAGATAGTCCCAAGTTGTTAACCATTCTGAGTCTCTCACAAGGAAGCTGCTCCACTTAAGTGTGAGAGCATTTGAACTATAAGAAGTCGTGCACATCCACATTCTTCCCATTTTTAAATTTAAATCAAGAGATACCTACTGTAAACTCAATACTTACTGAGCATTGCTAGATGCTTGGCTGATACTATTTTTTTGGTGGGGGAGCGGCTTGAATGGTGTCCACCCAATGCAACAGCCAGAAAGTATACCTTTCCACCAAATAACATAGAATTATTTTCTGCAGTGAAATTCAGCAGAGCAGCTTCCCGAAGGGAGCGCAGACCTGATATGGCACATCTCTACAAGCTAGAAAAAAGCCCTGAACTAGGATAAGCTCCTACAAGGTGGCAATTTTAAAAAAAAATGATTTTGAACAATGTTTATATTGAGCTTGAGTGGTGAAAAAAGCGAGATATTGAACCCCATTCTATATATGCTGCACCTTTCCCACACTCATGAAGAACACATTACAGACAGAATGCAGAAAGAATATACAGTATGTTTATGGTTTGCTGTCTAACAGCTGTAAACTTTCTGCCATACCAGCAAAAAAGTGTTGAATATTTAGAATGAATTTCCTCTAAAAAAAATCAGTCTTCTGAAGATTTGGTGTAACAAATATAACTGTTGTTTAGAAATAAAAATACCTGCTTAACAGTATTCACTGTTTATTTTTTTAAAATGCTAAAAGTGGTCATTTTACTTGTTTTTAAAATGCGTAATCTTTGGAGATTATGACCAAATGCTACAATATTTTCTAGCCACTAGGACTGACAAATGATTTCAATGTCAAACTAGTCACACAGATAAAAACATAAATACTAAGATACTTTACGCTTGGTTTTAAAAACATATGTGGCATTTAACAACATTTTGCCTAATATGTTAACATCACTACATTACTAATGTCTTCAACAGGACTGAACACTCACTGAAGCCGATTTTATTGAATGTCACCTCTACTAATGGGACAAAGAGGTTGTAGGGGGCCCTCCAGTAGTCCAGGCTAGGAACCGCTGGACTCCTTCAACTGGGAGAAAAGGGGAGCAGTTCTCCTTCCACTGAAGCCCAACAAAGTGTCCAGGGCCTCCAGTTCTAGAGCTGCTGGTGCTGCGCAACAGACCAGGTACAGACTCTGCTACAGATAACATGTACACAGAGGCAAATAGGAAATTTACGCAGGGACGTCCATACAGTACCTGCAACACTGGAAATATTATAACTGGAGCTGCATGTAAAATGGCTGCTAGATTTATATGCACAAAATTCACCCACCCAAAATATTGTATTCACTTATACAACTAAACTGTATGTCTTACAAAATTAACATTTGTCAAAATAATCTATATCTTTTCATGGGTCAAATTTTGATTCCTCCCCATCATAACAAAAAGAGACCATATAGAAGGTAGTCCGCAGCTCTTAAATATTAACCAGTGTTACAGGGCAACATTAATTATGGTAGAACCAAAAGCAATATTAGAAAATGCCAAACATCTTCATACTATTTGATGATTTTCCAATCTGTACTAGCTGAATATTTGAATTATTGTTTTATTCGGAGAATATTTACCACCATTATTTTGTAGTCTAATATACAAAATGAACAAAAAAAACAGTATAAACCAAAAGATACTATACCAAAGCTTGATTGTAGTGCAGATTTATCCACTAGCTTTTACAGATACAGGCTATTCCAAAACCTTGGGAATATTAAACCAAATATCTTATCAATAAATATCAATTCCATTAGCTATGAGGTCACTCCCCAAGGAAGGAAAGCTTAGGAAATGTTTTACAGGCTAAATGAGAAACCTAAATCAGTGTGTTTCAGCATTATGTATATTTACTGAAATGTCTCCAAACAAACATTAAAGGGACTCTGGACTCTAGTTAATTTGGAATGATAAAGTACAACTATTTGCTCCGATATTAATCATAACTGATTTTTTTTGAAAGACCACAATAAAATATTTGATTAAATTGACAGCTTTAAAATTAATTTTAGAGAAAAAGTGTAGATTGTACATTGTTACACATTTCATTCATTTTCGGTCATTAAATCAAATTGTGAATATTACATGGCAAGTGAATCATAGTTCAAGGGTTGAGTAACTGCTGTGAAAGTATATAAATCAATATAAACTAGCAAAAATATTTAATGTGTACTAGTGATCACTCCCCATCCCCAAAGTGTCCAACAATCATATGCAAAAAAAACTAACAACATTTTTTCATTTCCCAAATAGCTAGTTTAGCTCTCAAAAAAAAATTAGAAAAGCTTCAGTAACTGTCGAAATTTGCTTCTGTATTTTATTGTCATTGGACACTTAATCAGAGTTACTCTCAGTCAATAGTTCTAAGCTTCATTACCACTGAAATTAAATGTTGGCAAAATTCTTCAGAGTATTTATACGTAAATGATAAGCAAGATCCTTTGGACAACACCAAAGGGTATAAAAGTGTGGGTGATAAGATAATGCAAACTTCAGGAAAGTTGAGAGGAGATTTTATGTGCACGGGAGCAAATCAATGCTTTCTCTAATTGTCAACAAGTGGAACACGAATCAGCTAAGGCATTTTCACAAAGAAGTTCTGGGCAACACTCAATTTGTTATCTGGTGTGGAAATAGGTTTCCTCATTTAGATGAGGACATGCTAATGGCCAAGACAATCACATTGACCTTCATGCTAAATTTGGACTGGATTCACATTAGTGTGACAAAGTGATGGAAGAGAACATGGACTGATGTCTTGTAAATGTCAGGGACAAAACAGTTTACACAAAGATTTTGGAGTGGGAACAATGCAGATTCAACTAGGTCTAAAGGAGGACGGATGGGGGGAGTCTTGCATAGGACAACAGCAATAGTAAATTTTTATTTGTAGACAGAAATAAAAAAATTAAAAGCTTTCTGAACAGACCAACAAGGTAACACTTGCCTGACATATGGTGCAAGTTAAAAACTCAGTTGTCGTTTAGTAAAATATTCAACTTTTTAAAAAAAGTTTAAAAAAATCAAGGGAATCAATATGAAAAGAAATTGCAAGTATGTTAAATGTTTTATTTTCACTATCAATCTGGCGTATTTCACAAAAGAAATAAGGTGAAAGTGTTACTTTAAGCTGTAAAGTCTGAAGTCACCCAGTCTGGAATAGCCTGTTACAAGTTTGCAATGATAAATCTACCGTACAAAGCATTAGTTCACACAAAAATATTACATACTGGGTTAAAAACATGGGGCAAAATTTGCAGTATTCCTGAAGTTCCAGCCCAAGTAATAACCAAATAAAAAACTACTTCACTCTCTGAGGCCGAAAACCCAAACGCCTCAAGACTGAAAATTCAATATGGTGTCACATCAATTTGAAAATCAGAGCTGGGAAGGGGAAAGAAACCACCACCCAAGTGGCTTTTCGGTGTTTTTAGCAGGTTTAGTGTGAAACCAGAAATGCTCTAACAAACTAAACACCATTAATTGTGGGAATAATTAAGACAGTGTTATTTTAAAGAATACCACAAATTTTACCCCAATATGTAATAAGAATATTGATGATGGACAAGATCGTTTAAGACCCCTCACAAGCCTTTATGCGCCATTCAATTATTTTAAAGCATTTTAGGCTCTACAATCATCATCATTCAGCATGAAGCTTTTTTGTATCAGTACAATAAGTGTTCCCCTCACACCAGTTTATGACTGTTAAAGACGAATCGTGCTGCGAGCTTGAACGTTCTGTTTATAGCAGATCTGTGCCTTTAAACTACGTAACTGATCAAAAAGTTACAAATCACTACATGCATATACCAGCTAACATTTGTTTTACATGTACATGTATGAATTATATTTCAGTTATTTTAGATAAAACTTTAAATTACATAATGAATGTCGTAATTTCTGGTCATAATAACCCCCTGGAATAGTATTCAAATGGATATTGTTTTAAACGATTCACTGGATAATCATAACATACTGGACTAGGTGGTGAATGTGGGAGTGGTGCTACAATTCGATGCTAGTGCAAATTTACTATGAGGAAAACAACTCTAAAAGAATGCAAACATTTTAAAAAGGTAACATCTGACTTTGAATAGTTAAAATTATCTGTTAAAGTGGTCTATTCTACTGCAGGCCTTCAATTGCCTTTTACAGGCATTTTTAAATTATCTCCTATTAGTTGAGATAACCTGAGACCAGTACAATTTAATCATTAATTACAATGACTGTAGCACTCATGTGATTGACAAAATTGCTAAAATACAAGTATTGGGTACCTTGGTCTAAAATTGTAAAGGACTCCGCTAATAATTAAAGAACATAGAATTTAAAACATTAAAAAAAATCAAAAATGTGATAAGACAAAGCTGGAAAGATATTAAGATAAGTGTATGATATAGGATTACTGTACATCAGCATTTATTAAACACTGCCAATGGATGGAATCTCCACTAAATTCTTGTTTTCAAATATATCTTCTACCACTCACATACTAATAGACCTTTGGTACTAAGTATCTATTATGCATTTGTAAGCTTTTACAGTGAGAGTCAGTAACCTATTAAGTAAGGTTAATGTCTAATGACCACATAGGGATTGTTCATCAAAAATCATTGGAAGTCATTCAGGAGTAGAAATCCTGTTTTTTCACCTCCCATAGAAGTCACATTCAGTACAGCGTCAGCATTCCTACATCAGTTGAGATTAGTTAGTTAGTGCAAACAAGGATCAAACAAACATTGAGACATTATATTTTCTTCCTCTTGCCCTAGTTGGGCCTCATTACACAACATACAAGAGGGTGGAAAATCTGAGCTGCTCCCTGGCCTCTTTCAGTATCACTGGGAGCGCTAAAAAAAATCAGGAAAACTACAGAGGGCAGGAAAAGAGAGATCAAAGGCACATAATTACTCCATGATGTTGCTGGATTCTCATACTCGTGGCCTCATTCACCCTTATGCAAAGGGTGGTTTCAGAAATCTAAGTGTCATATAATAATAATAATCCTTGCATTTGATATGGTGCCTTATCAGTCTTTGAGACGTCTCAAACATATGAACTGCTCTCCTGTGACTGCGCAATTTAAACAAAAGTGCCTTCATTTTTTTCGGAAAACAGAAAAGTATTCTTTAGCTAATTTTTATCTCTTAAAACCTTTGCTAAAATCACAGACCATTATATCAAGACCCAAATTAATAGGGATTGATTTTCAAAAGGAATGGTTAAGAGTACAGTACTAAAGCAGACTTCAGAAAAAAGAAAGCAATAAAAGAACCTTAAAGGCAGAAAAAATAGAGGCAAAAGAAAAAAATATATAAATATGTATAGAATAAACTCAGATCAAAATTTCATGAATGCATCTACATAGTTTAAAAATGTATGGAGAGATTTTTTCTAAATGATTGCTTTGAAGTGTTTGGTTACAAAAAAACTAGAAGATACTGTATAAGAATCATGAGGGAAACATTGCACAAAGTCTTTCAAAGCAGGAGGAGAAATAAAATAACAAGTATGATTTTTTTTGCGTCAAGTGGCAATTTTGAAATTGTGACAAATTATGTGCATTAACGGAGTTTGCTGTTCTTCCACACTGTGGGAGAGAGGCATCAAAATTCTGAAATGACAAGTCATTGGAACTGTCAGTTTGGTGACCTTTTCCATTTAAAAAAATGGAAAAATAAATACCATTTTTCTTCCCTCCGAATAAACATAATGCACAATCTTGGAGAAGTTTAATTCCTCATCAGTGTACTCACTGCACAGTCCTACCGGCCTCTTCATTTTTGCAAATGTTAAGTATAATACAAAATAACTCGATCATTAGAGGAAAGGAAATAAGAGGTTTTTTTTAAAAATAGGACTGTACTTAAGCTACAATCATACAATTTAGGACACATACACAACGTAAAGAAACAGCAGTGGTTACAGAATGGATGATATCTCTTCTGAAAAGTACAGGCTATAAATACTTTAGCGATGTCTTTGATTTGAGTGGATTGATGAATGGGCAAATTTTATAAAAAATATTTAAGAAGTCAAAGCGATTAAAAACAATCTGTATCTGAAGCTACTGCCAATTAATAAATATAAAAATTGTTATTGGAAAGAGGCATATTTTTTTTTAGGCACAAGATGATTGAACAAGGTGACACAAATCCATTTTAACAGGGGACAGATGTCAGTGCTGGATAATAGCCATCCTCTTCTATCTCACCAATTGCCCAACCTTCACAAGCAAGCCACAACACGGCGAATGTCAGTGGGATTTTGATTTGCGGGGCATTATAACTGAACCTGTTCCTAACAATGTGTGTGGGAATTAAAAAGTTTTGTTATATGAATGCTGTAAGTCTCCAGAGACCAACAAATAAAGTGAGCTTGGATAGGAACACATTCCACGTTTGATGGCTGAAACTATCAGAAATTGATCAGGTTGCAACTACGATGCCATCAAGCCCAGCTTTATGTTCATGGGTTTCAATAACTTGAAAAACAAGTGTAAAATGCCCCTTAAATGGATTTCCAGGCAAAGAAAAGGTTGCTTGGAATCCCCAAAATGGATGGTGGGAGACAGAAGGAAGAAAGTTAAGGAAAACATTTTCAAGTTATAAAATAGATTTAAAGTAGCAAAAAATAGGATAAGAAGAAATTAGGACTGAAGAAAAAGGGGCGAAAAGCTGAGAGAGAAAAGTTAAAAATTTCAATACTTAATTAAAATTGTATTTTAAGGTTGACAATTGGGGTCAGTATTATTATCAATAGTACTATTGATATTTCAATGATTATAATAGTAATTGTTTCATCATTACAGAACACAGGCTGAAGTTTCCATGCCAGTCAGCAAGCAGGGACTTCCCTGGATAATCTGGCATTCAAAAGGTTAAACGTAGCACTGGAAGAAAGAAATGAACTACAAAAACTACTTGGACAGGAGAATCCATCCACTGACAATGTCATTAATACCTGTAAAAACAGATTTACTGTCTAGTGAATCAATGGTTCACAGTAGATATCATAAAAAAAATCTACTAGCATGAAAAAATGTTTTCAAAAAAGTGCCATAAGAACAGTTCTGACAATTAACTCTATGTGCTTACTCTTAGGGGAAGTGCATGTATTGAGGAAAGAAGTTACAGAACAAAATGTCATCCATGTAGGTTTTATTTTACAGCTATCACTTTTATGTTGGGAATTATGGTACAAGCATTTCCTGAACACTGCTGCAGCATTACAAATATGCTGTGGGTTCGTGGATTTCTCTAATTCTACTTTAAATATACCAACTTGCTATTTGTTTTTGACAGTACAGACGTAATACAACATACGTGTGAAGCAATAAGGCTATTTTTTCAGAAGAATGTATCAAGCTCTCAACAGTACAAGAGCAGAATATAAATTCTCATAGTTGAAATATTGCCAATGAATTATGAAACTGGGAAACATTGACCTTGGCCTTCAGGTATCACAAGTCATTCTAGTAAACCTTTTTTTTAAAATAGCCTCTAGTGCATTTTCTTCCAGCAAAACTAATGTATGAACTGTTATTTTCACTATTACATTTGAAATAAATATTCCATGCATCACTTTAATACAGATTGTCAACAGGGTTAGTAAATATTGATTCATATTTTTCCTTATTATGGATGAACGTAATAAATGTACCTACCATTTGCAGATAAGTGGACATGTCTTGCAAATTCCTTGTCTATCTCACAAAAAGCTTTGGTCAGCACCTTTTCCAGATTCTCCTCTTGTGAGAGACATTGTCTAAATAGGAAATAATAAACATTACTTCTAGTTATAAAATGGTAGTCTGAAATTTTGCTTTCTTTAGACAACATGAATCATAGTTTTACTGAAAAATCCACAGATTTACGATTTCATCCAGCTACCAGCACAATGTAGCAATAATCATCTTGATTCTAAAAGCAGAATTACATAGAGCATGAAAAATAGAGAGACATTCAAGTCATAATTAATTTGTTATTAAAACAAATTTGTCTACTATTAGAAGTCACAATGACAGTTTAATATGTCAAGAGTCAATTTAATTTGGTTCCAAAAAGATCGGCAGAATCAGGATATACCTAAAAATTTGTTCTCTCGTTGATGGGTCATGCTCTTGAGTTTACATCAACTCAGGGATTCCCCAAGCCTGTGTATTCTCTCACTTAATTCCTTCTCCACTTTAACAACCCGCTCTTCAACCAATTAATATGCGTTTACATTCATATTGATATTGCCTTCGTTCCTCCGGGTCTGGCCTCCTCCTCGTCCCCCGAGTCCTCCGCTCCACCCTCGGCGGCCGTGCCTTCAGCCACTATGCCCCGAGGCTCTGGAACTGCCTTCCTCACTCTTCATCTCGCTCTCTCCCTTCCCATTTTCAGGTCTCTGCTGAAGACCTTTCTTTTCGACCGTGTCTTTGGTCACCTTCCTCCCCCTCCCCCTGGCTCGGTCCCGGGATCTGTTATTGTAAAGCGCTCTGAGACACCGTCCGGCGTGGAGGGTGCTATATAAATCCAAGTTGTTGTGTTGATATTACTTCTCACATGTCAAAAGTAAACACAACTTGATTCCTTCCAAGTACAAAGGTTGCATCAGAAGATCTTTTCGATCCACCTTGACCTTTGAATGGGACAATGGTAAGCTGAGTTCTTCATACCTGTATTTTTCATGCCTCTCACAAATGTAAAGTTGTTAACTATTGCTTTTAATGGCTATCTTCATTGTTCAGAAGCTAATCTGGACCTCACTATTTTATCCAAAGTGCAATTCTCACATCTCAATTTCTAAAGAAGTTTGCTTGCCCCTTTTGTATCAATTTGTTTTTTCGATAAAAATACCTGATTTCCACACAACCTTTCAATGGCTGATTTAATATATAAAAAGTAGGTAGTTAACTAGTACAGGGCACACAATTTTAAAATACACCTAACACATAGGCAAGTAAAAACGATCTTATTAACTTTCATACCCTTAGAGTGTTATCTCAAGACAACTAATCCAATCAACTATAAGCTAAAAATTGGTGATTTATGGAGAAGGATACAATACCTTGCACTTTTAGGACCTTCCATGTGAAAGTGTCTCAGAGAAGGGAGATGAGGAATAGGAGAGGACTAAGGATGGAGCCCTTGGAGGTGACTGTGTTAGCATGAGATAACTAGTTATTGAAGAAGCTGTAGTGATCACGTTGAGACAGGAAGGATTGGAATCATGAAAGTGCAGTAGACCATGGTGCCTAGCCTATGAAGAAGGTTTTTTTTGGTCAGTTGCTGTCTGACACATGTGAAAATCTATCGCCATGCTTAAGAACACCAAACCACACTGGGAGTTCGCCATATATATATATATATGACACCTACAAATGGAAATTTCGCTGTGGCTGATTTAATATATAAAAAGTAGGTAGTTAACTATTACAGGGCACACAATTTTAAAATATACCTAACACATAGGCAAGTAAAAACTATCTTATTAACTTTCATACCTTTAGAGTGTTATCTCAAGACAACTCTAATCCAATCATCTATAAGCTAAAAATTGGTGATTTGAGAGGTACGTACACAATGTACTTTGCCATGTGCTTATCACAAAAATCTGCTGCTGCTGGTCCACCATGTCCATCATACACTGCAAAATACAGGACGTTCTCAGTCAGCACTCCAACTCTGAAACGGTCCTCATTCTCTTTCCGCTGACCAATCTGAGTAGTGCATCCAACGTTACTCAAGCTAACGTTTGGAATCGGTTTGCCATATTTTATGCTTGGTGGAAGTAGAATTGGCTCATCAATGCGGTTGTCCCAGATGCCAAAAGAATCCCAGGTTGTTTGACGACCACCACCTTCTACGTCAAAACGTGAAGCCCTGCGATCACTGGTGGAACTGTGGTAGATAAATACCACACGCTTGTCGTCCTGAAGCAGCCTTGAAGTCAGCAATGCTCTTCTTCTCACTTGAGAACCACCATATCTGCATAAGGTGATTAGTGCAGCTGTTGACATAACTTTATCCACAAAGATCAGAGGGATGAAGCTCGGTACAAACAAAATAATGATCCTTCCCAATTTATAAGCTGAAAGTCTAAAGAATGCAGCAGTTTGCAATTTAGATTTTCTGTAAGAAAAATGTAAAAGGATAGATTTAGAAGAAAAATACTTTATACTGCTCATTTCTAATTTCAAGTATCACAATATGCTTTGTTGATTTTTTTTGACACCAACTGAAACACAGGAACAATATTAGTGAAACCAGATACAGTAGTTACTATATAGCTTTTAGAAAACAGAGTCGCTGTAAAGATGGAAAGAAAACATCTGCTTAGCATAGATACTTAGGTACAGGTAGTTGTGGGATAAAACACCACTTCAGGATTTTGAACTCGTATAGTCTCAGCTAACGCTCCAATGCAGAGCACTGCATTGCTAGAGGTGCTGTCCTTCAGATAAGGTGAACAGGTAGATGGGAGCTCAGTTTGACTTTGAAGATCCCACTAAAAATTCTATTCAAAAGAGAAGGCACTTTCTCTAGGTTTTTCTGACAAACAATCTTCCAGATACAATTGGTCATTCACTTTATGGCCATTCGCTGAACATTGTTGTGTGCAAATTGGCTGCTCCATTAGTCAACTTGTTTATCAGCATAAAGGTGTTTTGCACGTTTTATGTTACGTTTATCTCATAAAAGTATTAAACAACTTGTCAAGTGGCGCTTTCTGCAAAAACATGGCACAGGAGTAATGTACAATAATATTCATCCTTATGTTTGGGATAGGACCTTTCACATGAGGAGGATATCTCAAAGCACTTCACTTGATGTGCTGTAAAGTGGTGTGACTATTTTGTGGGCGAACATAGCACCCAATTTGCACACAGCAATGTCCCACAAACAGTCAAGACGTGAATGACCAATTTTATTAGGGGATTGTTGGCCAGGACACGTTTCTTTTTGAATAGCGCCATGGGATTTTTAATGTCCATCTGAACAGGCAGACGGGACTTGATCTAACATCTCATCTGAAGGACGGCACCTGCAATAATAATAATCCTTGCATTTGATATAGCGGCTTAGCACATCGTTGAGACGTCTCAAAGCGCTTCACAGAATATACTGTAAAGTGGATTGACTGTGTATTTTTAAAATGAAACACAGCAGCCAACTCCACTGTGAAGAAACGGTACAATTTTGCTAAGCAAAGCTTATTGTCAGTAAAACTTGCCATTTTCCTACTATTCATCATTCTTTTACCTACTACATTTGTGTAGTATTATGTATGTACATATCACCCACACATTGCACAATTATAAGATTCGTATAGCAAAGTTAAAAAGTTAATATTTTCATAAAAAAGGAGCTGGTGTGATTGCTAATATATTTTTGTCCTCATTTTTTGGAGACTGAAGAGTAATTTCCCAGTTTTATGATCAGCTCAGGTCAGTCTGAGCTTAATTGTTTATGTCTACATAATCGGTGTATGCCCGAGAATAACCCTGCAATGATCTGTGATTTATCGCAACCAATAAAGGCGCTACTGTGAGGTCATTCAATAAAGATTAGCTAAACAACATTCAGAAATTGGTGATAGAGGTCATAGGCAGCAACGCAACAAGATTACATTTGTATAGCGCCTTTCATGTCGGGAGGACATGCCAAGGCGCTGAACAGAGTACAGCATTTCAGACCTGAGCTGGGATCGGGGGGCGGGGGGGAGAAGGGAGGGGAGTGGAAGGGGGTTGACCGAAGGCATGGTCGAAGAGGAGGGTTTTGAGGCGGGACTTGAAGGAGGCTAAGGAGTGGGTGAGGTGGAGTGGTTGGAGATGGAATTCCAGAGGTTGGGAGCAGAGTGGCTGAAGGCTCTCCCGCCAATGGTGGGACGGGTGGGTCGGGGGTCGTGGAGCAGGTCAGAGCCGGCTGAGTGGAAGGAGTGGACAGGTTGGTAGGGGGTTAGGAGGTCGCAGAGGTAGGGTGGGGCGAGGCCATGGAGGGCTTTGTATGTGAGGACCAGGATCTTGAACTGGATCCTCTGAAGGATAGGGAGCCAATGGAGTCGGGCGAGAATGGCGGAGATGGGGTCACGGAGTTTGGTTCGGGAGAGGACACGGGCTGCAGAGTTCTGGATTATCTGCAGCCTGTGGAGGGAGGAGTTGGGAAGGTCGACAAGCAGGGGGTTTGCATAGTCGAGCCTGGAGTGATGAAGGCATGAACAAGAGTTTCAGTGGTCTGAGGCTGCAAGAGAGGAATGTGTGTGGAATAAGCAAACTTGACTAAGGCTTCGCCCTGCCCAGGAATCGAATGCGGGTCCACTCGCTTGCGAGGAGATGTCCTGATTTAATCTAAACCTGAAGTACTAATAGGCCAATACACACTAAATTTTCATTTTTACAACATTCAGTAATGAAACAATGCTTCTGTGCACCTCTCACTGAATCACGTGGACAGCAGCACTGTGAGGTCTCGGAACAAGTAAAATAAAACAAATATCAACCTCCTGCAAAATCAAAATAAAACTGAGTTCACTATCGAGACATGTAATTTTGGAAGAGTGTTAAATGGCTGAGGTGCCAATTTTTGAATGAGTCATTAAAGGTTTCACATTTCCATTAACAACATTTCTACTTCTAGGAGTAACTATTTCTAATTGTTGCAGCGTAGTTGAATGAGAATTAAATAATTATGGACAGTTTAAACAGTTTATCCTGTGGATGACTGCCCCTTTTAACTAGGTGAAGCCATCTTTTAGTCAGACAAAAGACGGTTTATACTCCGATGAATCTTCACCCACTCCTTACTCCATTCTACAGGGTGACCAAAAAGTCATGATACCAATTATTTGAATAATAATCACTAAACATATATATATATATAATTTCTTTAAGCCTATTTAGACATTGTGATGGTGTCAGAAATTTTTGGTCACCCTGTATTTCCTTCTCCCTCATGTGTATATCTAGCTTCTTCTTAAATGTTTCTATACGAACTGCTTCAACTACCGTTTTGGGCATCAAATTCGACATCTCACTTCATTTATAATTCATTGCATTCTGTAAAGCACCCTGAGATGTTACTTTCACATGAGAACTACACGCAGAACATTATGTAGAATGATACAGAAAAACTTTGGTGCTTTTTGCTTCAACCAAGCTTCTGGCAGCGAGTTCCACATTTTCACCACCCTCTGTGTGAAGAAGCTCAACAACACACCAAAATGACATTTATAGAGCACCTTTCGCATTGGGAGGACGTCCCAAAGCGCTGAACATTCCAGGGGTTGGGACCCGAGCATGGAGTGGGGAGGTGTAGGGGTGAGGGAAGGCAGAGAGGTGGGAGGGCGACCAAGGGCACGATCGAAGAAAAGGGGCTTGAGATCGGCCTTGAAGGAGGCAAGGAGGACGCGAGGCGAAGGGACTGTTGGATGGAGTTCCAGAGTGTGGGGGCAGAGACGCTGAAAGCTCAGCCAGCGATGGGAGGGCAGGTCAGGCGGAGACATGGAGCAGACCGGAGCCCGCTGAATGGAGGGAGCGGGCAGGTTAGTAGGGAGTCAGCAGGTCAGAGAGGTAGGAGGGGGCAAGGCCATAGATGGCCTTGAAAGTGAGGACGAGGATCTTGAATTCGATCCTCTGAGGGTTGGGGTGCCAGTGGAGTCGCGCGAGGGTGGGAGTGATGGGGTCACGGAGCCTGGTGCGCAAGAGTAAAGGAGCTGCGGAGTTGCGGAGGCGCTGGCGCGAGCCAATCAAGAGGGCCTCGGTCTTGCTGACTTTGAGTTGGAGAAAGTTGTCCCTCGTCCAGGACTTGATGTCGGACAGGCAGTCATTCAGGACGCCAGCAGTGCTGGAGTTGAGGGTGGAGGCAGAGAGATAGAGTTGGATATCATCCACATACATGTGGAAATTTACCCCATGTCTGCGGATGATGTCACCAAGGGGAAGCATGTAGAGGGTGAAGAGGAGGGGACCGAGGACAGAGCCCTGAGGAACACCGCACGAGACAGGGCGGGGGCTGGAGGAGAAGCCGTTTGCTGCGACAAAGTGGAGGCAGTGTGAAAGGTAGGACCTGAACCAGTCAAGCACAGAACCTTGAAGATTGAGGTGGGAGATGTGGAGGAGGATTAATGGTCCACAGTGTCAAAGGTGGTAGAGAGATTGAGGAGGACGAGGAGGCAGAGGGAGCCCTGATCGCACATGGTCAGGATGTCGTTTGTGACCTTGACCAGAGCAGTTTCCTTGCTGTGGGCAGCACGGAAACCCGTTTGGAGGGGTTCATAGAGGGAATGGGAGGAGAGGAAAGAGTGAAGCTGGGAGGCAACGGCTCTCTCAAGGACCTTGGACAGGAAAGGGAGGTTTGAGATAGGCCAGTAGCTGGATAGCTGTGATGGGTCAAGGGAAGGTCTCTTCAATGTGGGAGTGATGGTGGATGTTTTGAGGGGGAGGGAACAGTGCCAGATGACAGGGAAAGATTGATGATGTCAGCAAGTAATGGGGCAAGGAGGTGGAGCTGGGATTTAAGGAGAGGGGTGGGGATGGGGTCCAGGGAGCAGGTGATGGGCTTCATGGAGGATATGGTGGTGAAGACAGAGGAGGGGGTGACAATTTCAAAGGTGTGGAAGAAGGGATGGGTAATTGTCGGAGTGTGGGTGGGGGGTAGGGAGGGGGTGGAAGTTGGGAGGGCAGTGGCAGCTGAACGGATTCCTCGATTTTGGACTCGAGGAAGTCCAGCATTTTCTCGCAGTGGGAGTCAGAGGAAAGAATCTGCGAGGCGTGGCGGGGAGGGTGGAGGAGCTGGTTGGTGATGGAGAACAGGAGCCTGGGGTTGCCCTTCACCTCCAGGATTAATCTGGAATAGAAGGACGGTTTGGCTGAGGCAAGAGCGGAGTGGTAGGTTTTGTTGAGGTCCAGCCAAAAACTCGCTATCAGATCTATGACTGGCTATCGTATATTCCACCAGCGAGTGAAAACTGCCTGTCAACACCGTATCATTATCAAATCATTTCATAATCTTAAGCTCCTCTCTCAGGTCTCCTCTCAATTTTCCTCGTCTGCAGAAATGCTTTTGGTCACCTGGGTGCCTGACACAGGCGGAAATACATCACCAAAAAACACCAGAGTGCTCCAACCAAACAGAGTTGCATGCATCCCACCTATACAAGGAGGTGCATTTCCTGAGAGAGCTCAAACTATCAACTCATCTCTGGTAATATTCAGTGCACAAAAACAGCAACTTGCATTTATATAGCACACATCACACGGAGTAGCATCACGGATGCAGGAGTGGATGAAGGAGGAGAGCCGACAGAAGAGGATATCATGACCAACTACGTTCACCAAAGGCAGCACGCAGGAGGACAGCATTGAGAGGATGAGGAAGTTGGGGGGTGGGGGGTCGCTAAGATAAGTAATCTGTGAGACTTTAATGCTGCGGGAAAAGGCGGAACCGGGTCTGGAGGGGCTCGAGCAGGGAGGAGCGAAGGTGGGTAACAACAAATTGCATTTATCTAGTAGCGGGCCTTTCAGGGTGGGAGGACGTCCAAACGAGGTGCTCTAGCACTTTACAGGTACTACTACTACTACTAATAATAATAATAGCATTCCTTGCATTTGACATAGCGTCTTATCAGGTCGTTGAGACTTCTCAAAAACTCTTCACAGGATATACTGTAAAGTAGATTGACTGTGTATTTTGTGGGGGAAAACGCAGTAGCCAATTGCACAATTAAATTAAAGGTAATCTTGATTCCTCCCCTTCCTACATTGAAATAATAATAAGGTGGGAGGTGACAAAAGCATGGATAAGGCGTGGCCAGCAATGTTAGGTTTGAGGTATCTGTGACGGAGAGGGAGGAAAGGGACTTGATGTGGGGTAGGGTTGACAATTGGGGTTTAAACCCAATGTCTAAATTGTACACATGTTTAGCGAGTCTCAGGGATAGGCCGGGAAGGTTAAAGAAGTCAGAGCGGCAGATGAGAAGAGTGTTGACGGGAGCCAAAAAAGAATAGCTTCCGTCTTGTGCATATTCAGCTATAGAAAGTTAGCACTCATCTAAGACTTGAGACTGATAAGCAAGCAGACACACATCAGTGGACTTGGGGTCACAACTGAAGGAGGAAGAGTAGATTTGGGCATCATCCGCACACATATGGAAGTTGATGTTTGCAGCTGTCGATGTCTGCAGATGACATCACCAAGAGGCAGCACATAATATAATAATCCTTGCATTTGATATAGCGCTTTTCACGTCTTCTCGACGTCTCAAAGCGCTTCACAGAATAGACTGTATATTTGTGGGCGAAACGCGGCAGTCATTGCGCACAGCATTGTCCCACAAACAGTCGTGGATTGAAATGACCAATTTATTATTGTTTTTGGTTTTGGAGGGATTATTATTAGGCTCTGTGTGGAGTAAGGAAACTTGCCCAAGGTTTCGCCCTGTCTGGAATTGAACTCAGGTGTCTCGCGTGCAAGGCGAGTGCTCTAACCACTGAGCTACAGGACTCCATAAATGAGGAAAAGGAGGGGCGCCAAGAATAGAGCCTTAGGATACTTTGCAGGTGACTGTTTGGGACCTGGAGGTGAAACCGGTGGAGGAGACGAGAGGATACTCAAGTCAGTCTTGAAGCAGGAGAGCGGATGAGGGAGGAGAGGCGAGAGAAGAGGATATCACGAACAGGACTACGGAGTCCTGTAGCTCAGTGGTTAGAGCACTCGCTTTGCAAGTGAGAGACCTGAGTTCAATTCCAGGCAGAGGGCGAAACCTTGGGCAAGTTTCCTTACTCCACACAGAGCCTAATAATAATCCCTCCAAAACCAAAAACAATAATAAATTGGTCATTTTCAATCCACGACTGTTTGTGGGACATTGCTGTGCGCAATTGGCTGCCGCGTTCGCCCACAAATATACAGTCAATTCACTTTACAGTATATTCTGTGAAGCGCTTTGGGACATCCTCCCGACGTGAAAAGCGCTATATCAAATGCAAGGATTATTATTATTATTATAACTGCGTTCGCCGAAGGCAGCACGCAGGAGGTCAGCATCGAGAGGATGAGGAAGTGGGGGGGAGGGGGTGTGTGTGGGGGGGAGGGGGTGTGTGTGGGGGGGAGGGGGTGTGTGTGGGGGGGAGGGGGTGTGTGTGGGGGGAGGGGGTGTGTGTGTGTGTGGGGGGTGTGTGTGTGTGTGGGGGGTGTGTGTGTGGGGGGGAGGGGGTGTGTGTGGGGGGGAGGGGGTGTGTGTGGGGGGGAGGGGGTGTGTGTGGGGGGGAGGGGGTGTGTGTGGGGGGAGGGGGTGTGTGTGGGGGAGGGGGTGTGTGTGGGGGGGAGGGGGTGTGTGTGGGGGGAGGGGGTGTGTGTGGGGGGGAGGGGGTGTGTGTGGGGGGGAGGGGGTGTGTGTGGGGGGGAGGGGGTGTGTGTGGGGGGGAGGGGGTGTGTGTGGGGGGGAGGGGGTGTGTGTGGGGGGGGGGGGGGTGTGTGTGGGGGGGGGGGGTGTGGAGGGGGTGTGTGTGGGGGGGAGGGGGTGTGTGTGGGGGGGAGGGGGTGTGTGTGTGTGGGGAGGGGGTGTGTGTGGGGGGGGGGGGGGTGTGTGTGGGGGGAGGGGGTGTGTGTGGGGGGGAGGGGGTGTGTGTGGGGGGGGGTGGGGGTGTGTGTGGGGGGGGGGGGTGTGTGTGGGGGGGGGGTGTGTGGGGGGGAGGGGTGTGTGTGGGGGGAGGGGGTGTGTGTGGGGGGGAGGGGGTGTGTGTGGGGGGGGGGGTGTGTGGGGGGAGGGGTGTGTGTGGGGGGAGGGGGTGTGTGTGGGGGGGAGGGGGTGTGTGTGGGGGGGAGGGGGTGTGTGTGGGGGGGAGGGGGTGTGTGTGGGGGGGAGGGGGTGTGTGTGGGGGGAGGGGGTGTGTGTGGGGGGGAGGGGTGTGTGTGGGGGGAGGGGTGTGTGTGGGGGAGGGGGTGTGTGTGGGGGGGAGGGGGTGTGTGTGGGGGGGAGGGGGTGTGTGTGGGGGGAGGGGGTGTGTGTGGGGGGAGGGGTGTGTGTGGGGGGGAGGGGGTGTGTGTGGGGGGGAGGGGGTGTGTGTGGGGGGGAGGGGGTGTGTGTGTGTGGGAGGGTGTGTGTGTGTGTGGGAGGGGGTGTGTGTGTGTGGGAGGGGGTGTGTGTGGAGGTGTTTGTGTGTGTGTGTGTGTGTGTGGGGAGGGGGGGAGGGGGTGTGTGTGGGGGGAGGCGGACGCAGCAGCCAAATTGCACAATTAAATGAAAGGTAATCTCGACTCCCTCCCCTTCCCACATTGAAATAATTGCGTGTGTGTGTGTGTGTGTGTATATATATATATATATATATTTACATATATATAATTAGGATTTCCTGAGAGGAGGAATCACCTATTGCCTATGCGCGGCGCTGGAAGCTGCTCTCCCCGCCTTGGCCGGGGACGTCCGCCTGCCGTCCATTGCGCCCGTTTCCACTTGCACGCCGCAGGGCCGTCGTTTGTCGGTCGCCATCACCCCCCGCGAATCCATCGCCCTGCCGCTGACCGGGGGGGGACCGTTACATCGGGCCCTGCGGCCGCTCCACCCGCCCACCCACTCACTCACCCGCCGCCGCCGCCTGAAGCCTCTCCGAATGACAGTTGGCCAACGTCACCAACCGCCTCGCGCGCGCGCGTTCGCTCGCTCGCTCTCTCTCTCTCGCTCTCTCCCCACACCCCTCCCGCGCAATCAAATTGTTTCCGGGGCGGGGCTCCTCAGACCGTCGAGGTTTGCCCCCAACTTTGATTGATTGATTGATGGATGGATTGATTGATTGACAGGCCGCTAAGCCAATGGCGATGCAGGATCTGGCGAGGCACGGGCCAGGCAGCCAATGGGTCCCGCGAGCTGTGATTGACAGCCCTGATAACCAGTCACAAGCGCCACACGGGCGGTCGCCGGGGGTGGGGGGGGGGGGGGAGACAATGATCGGGAGCATTGTTAACGTTAGAGAATGATGGCGTTTGTTGTAACGCCACCCACAGGCTGCGTGGGGCAGTGGGAGGGAGTGGGTTGAGAGGCGGCGGCTGCCCATTGGCCACAGGAATTATGATTGACACGCCGGCTGGCCAATGAAGGAAGAGAGTGAGCAACGCGAGCCAGGATGGTGTCTGCAGACAAGAGTGTGTGTCTGTGTGTGTGTGTGTGTCTGTACAGATACAACGCAGAGCAGCTGATAGATAATGATAACAACAACAATAGCAATAATAATCCTTGCATTTTGATATCAGCGCCTCATCGCGGCTTCCGAGTCTTCTCAAAGCGCTTCACAGAAATATACTGTAAATCGAATTATAACCTGAAACAACCAGGAGTACAGGCACAATCGTAACAGTCAATATACGTTATACGTGTGCAAATCTATCTCCATGTTTCACCCACAAAATGCGCAGTCACTCCACTTTACGGGATATCCTGTGAACTCCTTTGAGACGTCTCAACCATACGATACAGTGGTATATATATATATATCAAATGCAAGATTATAACATATATAAAGCTCGAATCGTCCACAAAACACATCGTCACACGACTTTACAGTATAAATCCCGTGAAGCACTGTTTGTGACGATTTGACATGAATACAATAATGCCAAAATTATCATTATTAATTACTGTGTCAATCAATCGACACACGAGCCACTGCACGCTTTTCCTGTTTTAGCAACAATCATATTAGTCCACGGGCACATTATTGAATCCGAATAAGTTTACAGGAATGGTTCGCCGCCGAGCATGGTGAGAGAGGGCGCAGGCAAGTCAGTCATTGCGAAACTCTGCTCCTACAAATTAATGAATGAACTAATAACTCTGTAGAAATTAATATGTAAAAAAAAATAAACCGAACAAAACACGAACAAGTGGGAACTACTGGGTTCCAGTTGATTATTGGATAAAAACCCTTTCACTTTTGATGTCCTGAATGAATTCAATGTATAATCAATGGCCTTTAATGCAACAGAAGATGATAAATGGGGGAGGAGGAACAAACACACTTCACAGAGCTACACGTCCTTTCTTTCCTCTCAGGAAAAGTATACAGTAGCTCGTGTGTCAATTGATTTGATACAGTAATTCATGTAATGGGCTACACGACAGCACCCAACAGGAGCGATCTTACCCCCATCGAAAGGCGTATTTCGCACCACAGCAATTTCGAAAAGATCCTTCACAGCGCATTACTGTGCTCCCCCTCCTCTCTCTGTGTGTGAAACTGTGTGTGTGAGAGTGACTGTGTGTGTGTATGAGTGACTGTGTGTGAGTGCCTCCTGTGTGTGTGTGTGAGAGTGACTGTGTGTGTGTGTGAGTGACTGTGTGTGAGTGCCTCCTGTGTGTGTGTGTGAGAGTGACTGTGTGTGTGTATAAGTGACTGTGTGTGAGTGCCTCCTGTATGTGTGTGTGTGTGAGTGAGTGACTGTGTGTGTGTGTGTGTGTGTGAGTGCCTGTGTGTGTGTGTGACTGTGTGTGTGTGTGACTGTGTGTGTGTGAGTGACTGTGTGTGTGTGTGTGTGAGTGACTGTGTGTGTGTGAGTGCCTGTGTGTGTGTGAGTGACTGTGTGTGTGTGTGTGTGTGTGTGTGAGTGCCTGTGTGTGACTGTGTGTGTGTGAGTGACTGTGTGTGTGTGTGTGTGAGTGACTGTGTGTATGTGTGTGACTGACTGTGTGTGTGTGAGTGACTGTGTGTGTGTGTGAGTGCTGTGTGTGTGTGAGTGCCTGTGTGTGTGTGAGTGACTGTGTGTGTGTGTGTGTGTGTGAGTGCCTGTGTGTGACTGTGTGTGTGTGAGTGACTGTGTGTGTGTGTGTGTGAGTGACTGTGTGTATGTGTGTGACTGTGTGTGTGAGTGACTGTGTGTGTGTGTGTGTGAGTGACTGTGTGTATGTGTGTGACTGTGTGTGTGTGAGTGACTGTGTGTGTGTATGAGTGACTGTGTGTGAGTGCCTCCTGTGTGTGTGTGTGAGAGTGACTGTGTGTGTGTGTGAGTGACTGTGTGTGAGTGCCTCCTGTGTGTGTGTGTGAGAGTGACTGTGTGTGTGTGTGAGTGACTGTGTGTGAGTGCCTCCTGTGTATGTGTGTGTGAGAGTGACTGTGTGTGTGACTGTGTGTGTGTGAGTGACTGTGTGTGTGTGTGTGTGAGTGACTGTGTGTGTGTGTGTGACTGTGTGTGTGTGAGTGACTGTGTGTGTGAGTGTGAGTGAGTGTGACTGTGTGTGTGTGTGGTGACGGTGTGTGTGTGTGTGTGTGAGTGACTGTGTGTGTGTGTGTGCTGTGTGTGTGAGTGACTGTGTGTGACTGTGTGTGTGAGAGAGAGTGAGTGATTTGCGGGCAAACCCAATGTCTTTATTTACGTTACCACCTATACCTATATACACACACATATATATATACATGTGTGTGTGTGTGTGTGTGTGTGTACAGCCCTCCCGCACGCACACAGTCCTACCTCACAGCCGATCCCTCGCTGGGGCACCGATGCCTTTGACGGGGACGAGAGGATGAGAGAGAGATAGAGATAGAGATAGAGAGAGAGGTAGAGATAGAGAGAGAGAGAGAGAGAGAGAGAGAGCAGTGGCCCCTCTCACTGTGGCTGTAGCTGTTGCCCCTTCGCTGTGTGGCGCTGCGTTACGGGCGACTCGATCATTTTTACGCACTCTCTCTCTCTCTCTCTCTCTCACTCACTCATTCTCTCTCTCTCTCTCTCCTCCTCCTTTCCTTCCTCCTTCCCTCCCTCTATCTCTCCCTCAACGAACGGGGGCGGTGTGACTCGGACCAGAGTCTAATTCGACAAACTTCAAACCAATGAAGCAGAGCCAAGAGAGAGAGAGAGAGAGAAAGAGAGAGGAGAGAGAGGAGAGAAAGAAAGAGCCTTTCACATTCTTTCACTGCACTGCAATGTGTTAAAGAAAGACACTGTAACTCTTGTTTTAAGTTACAGTTCGCAAAATAACCTTCAGATAAGCGATGCAAACATGTTACCCTTTTCCCAGTGGGGAACTGTGTGGAAAAAGCAGCAACTTTCCAATTACATCTCAAGGTCAATTTATTACACACACACAATCCCTCCCCCCCCACCCCCCACCCCTCCCAATAATACACAATAGTTTTAAGATCTTTTATACCTTAGAGCTGCCGATAGAAACTTTATTATAATAATAATAATAATCCTCGCATTTGATACAGCGCTTTTCACGTCGGGAGGACGTCCCGAAGCGCTTCACAGAACACACACTGTAAAGTGAATTGACTGCATATTTGTGGGCGAACGCGGCAGCCAATTGCGCACAGCAGTGTCCCACAAACAGTCGTGGATTGAAAATGACCAATTTATTATTGTTTTGGGTTTTGGAGGGATTATTTAGAGACATTAACACACTTATAGATTGCCAATTGGGGAGATGCGTTACCGCACACCAGCGGTTTTCATTCATTCATTTTCTTGGTCTGGAAGCGTACAGGGGATTTGTTGTAAGATTGGGTCAGGAACGAGGAGGATGGGGAGGGGGTGCTGGGCTGGCCACGGGATATACCGAGCGAGGTGATATGATTCAAGCAACTGAGCAAGGAATCTGGAAATTCCAGGGGAAAGATTGGGGAAGACTGTGTTCAGTAGATCAATGAGTTCAATGTCATCGTCTGTACTTATGCAACATTTATGTAAACTCACCTCACCATCTCAACTCCTGCTTTCTGCGTTTGCCTTGGAAAAGATTTTCCTGATATCGCCGACCTCGTGAAATGTTTACGCACTTGACATGCTTTTTTGGGTACAATGACGCCTTTTCGGACCTCACTGGAGAGTGTAGCAAAGGGTTTCTTTTGAGTATTGGATACGCTTAAGCATCTTAAGCACGGTGATGCATTTCTGCAGTTGCCAAAAGGATCAAAATAAATGTGTTTTTTTGGGCAAATCAAATGTATGCAAAATCACCATGTGAGCTGCTGAATGTATTTGTTGTAGATATTTTTGCTGTGCAGTTTAATAAGGATCATTTATACTTTAACTTCAATATGCTCCACCTCAGAACTTAGAACTCATATAGTCTAGGCCGATATTCAATGCGGTGCTGGGGGAATGCTGCACTGTTGGAGGTGCTCATACCCGCTTTCATTACATTGAGGACTATGTAAATTCATTGCTTGTTGGCCTCCCCAACTCTTCTCTCCATAGGCTGCAGATCATCCAGAACTCTGCTGCCCATGTCCTCTTCGCACCCGGCTCCGTGACCCTATCACCCCCATCCTCGCCCGACTCCACTGGCTTCCCATCACACAGAGGATATAGTTCAAAATCCTGGTCCTCACCTTCAAAGCTCTCCATAGTCTTGCTTACCCCTATCTCTGCGACCTCCTAACCCCCTACCATCCTGCTCGTTCCCTCCACTCAGCGGGCTCCAGCCTGCTTCACGTCCTCCACCTGGCTCGCCCAACTATTGGCGGGCGGGCCTTCTGTCACTCTGCCCCTACCCTCTGGAACTCCATGCCATAGTCCCTCCATCTCGCCCCCTTCCTTGCCTTCTTCAAGACCCATCTCAAGACCCTCCTCTTTGACCGTGCTTTCGATTTCCCTGTTTCCCCCCCTGCCCTCCACCCTCCCCAATCCCGACCCCCAGCTCGGGTCCAAAACACTTACTTACCAGCGCCTTGGGACGTCTTCCCGACGTGAAAGGCGCTATACAAATGTAATTTTGTT